AGAATGCATACAAGAATCAAAAGAGGTAAGTGGTGGTGATACATTTTGCAAAGCATTGATTCTACTTCAGTGTACTTTCTTAGCAACAGCTAAAAGCTTCACTACACAATTACTGTCAGATTTATACACCAAGCAAAAAAAATTTGAAAATAAAAAGGAATCATAAATATATCTGGAACCAAAATAAATTCTGCTAGAAATATTACATATTCAATAAAAGTTTATTGGTAATTGAATCCTTCATCCAACTTGAAACACAAATCAACTACATTTAACCGGTAAGAAACATTAACAGGATGAGGCTTCATTCTATATTCCCATCGTTAACTGTATGATGCTTGTATGTATTCTTGATTACAAATCTTATATCACATTAACCATAAAAAAATGGCAAGAATTGCGACGAATGCCATAGACAATCAATGAAAGATTACCTCTTCCTCTTTCCAATGCGGTAGAAGTTCATCCAGTGCTCGGGGCTCAAACACATTGCCCGATAAGATATGAGCACCTACAACCACGTTGAATAACCAAAAAAAAAAAAGAGCCATACAAATAAATAAAATCAAAGAAAAAGAATTAAATAAACTCATTTCAAAAGCTCTATTAACACTAATACAATCTCGAAAGCCAAAAATACTACCGGCAATTTAGACAAATACCTACTTCAGGGCCTTTCTCAACAACACAAACCGATAAATCCACACCCTTTTCACTACACAACTGCTTCAATCTTATTGCAGCTGATAATCCAGCCGGTCCAGCACCAACAATCACAACATCATACTCTATAGACTCCCTTTGAGCTTCACTACTAAATCTCCTAACAAAACCTTGATTTTTATCAAAATTCCTCATTTTAGCCCAACTTGGCCAAAGCCCATATGGAAAAACCCGGTTGAAGCATCCTTTTGAGGCTACAAGACTCCAGCTTTGATGGAAAGACCAATATGGAGAGATTGAGTGTTTTTGAGGTGATTTCAATGTATTGAACAAAGATTTAAGAGAATTGGACTTTGAACGAAGTGAAATGAGTCTCTGCATAATTTATGGATTGATGGATGGATAGAATGTGGTGATTGAGGAGCTAAGCTTGAATCTTTTTTATTGCACAGCTTGTTTGGCCAAGGATGATGAGCTGACGTTCTATGTTCATCTTTCCATGTTGGATCATGGATGTGACCCATTATGACAGGTTGTGAACTTAAGGAGGATTTTTTTTATTATAATCTCCTCTCATCATACTATCATACTATACGCTAGGATATTTTTTATTTTTATTTTTATTTTTATTTTTTAATATATATTTATAAATTTTAATTTTATTATTTAATATCATAGTATAATCTTTTTAATATTTTATGAGGTTGTTCTAAAATTTTAATTCAAACTATAAATTTAAAGTGTGAACTCATTTTCTTTTCTAATTAGTTTTTTTTTTAATTTTATTTTTTAATATTAAATTAATAAAAAATTAAATTTTATGATTTATTTTAGCCTTTTATCCCATAAATTAGGTGATGTGTTTAACAAATTAATTCTGGTTAACCTTGGTTATTTTTTTTTATTTTTTTTTTATTTTATTTTTAATATTAAATTGATTAAAAATTAAATTTTATAATTTATTTTAATTTAGTTTCTATTAGGTTATCTTAGTTTTATTATAAGTTATAGGTTTGATAAATTAACACAAATTGACTAAAATTATTTTTTAATTGATTTTTTTTACAGTTTCATACTTCAACATTATATTTATTAAATATTAAACTTTATAATTTATTTTTATATAGTTATTATAATCTCATAACTTAGCATACAAATTGATAAATTAACCGGAGTTAATTTAAATGAATTCAATATATTATTATTTTTATTTTTATTAAAATATATCATTTTAGATAATTATATTAGGTTAAACTACCTTTTTAGTTATTTTTTTATTAGAAAAAATATTAGCAATATTAATATATTATTTTACATTAAAAAGAATTCAATTCAATTTTCAGCATTGCATGAGTGAATTATCTAGTCCTTATCTAAAGATTCTATGAATTGGATTCATCCATCTGATGAAATTAGACAACGTGGGAGATAATTTTTCATTACCTCTCCTCACAAAACAAAAAGTTCTTTGTATTTTTTTCTTTAATCAATTATTTTTTATTTTATAATATAAAATTTATTCTTTTATTGGGCAATCTCACTTTTACAAAAGAGATTATAAGTTTGGTGATTTAACCTCGTTAACTCATTTTTTTTTTATGAATTTCATCATTTAATATTGAGTTATTCAAAAATTAAACTTTATGATTTGTTTTGTTTACTTTTTATTAGGTTATTCCGATCTTATGACCCGAAAATAGTGCTTAACAGGTTAACTTGAGTTGGTTCGAGATATTTTTTAATGTTTTTTAATTAATTGTTTTCTAATTTTATTATTCATCATTAAGTTGATTAAGAATTGAGTTTTATAATTTTTTTTAATTTACTTTCTACGAAAATATTTTATTCTCATAACCAAGGTCATATATTTTGGTATTTTTATCCTATTAAATCAGATTGTTTCTTTAATTTTTTTCTAAAAGATTTTCTCGGTCTTACAATCTAGAATACAGATCCTTCAACATTGGATTCACTTTTTATTTGACTGTCCTTATCTCATTACTCAGGTTACAGATTTGATATGTTAACCTAATTAACTAAGGGATTGTAATAGCTATAGCGGTTTAAAGTGTTTTTCACTTAGAAATATATTAAAATAAAATTATTTTTTCTTTGTATTTTTTTCTTTAATCAATTATTTTTTATTTTATAATATAAAATTTATTCTTTTATTGGGCAATCTCACTTTTACAAAAGAGATTATAAGTTTGGTGATTTAACCTCGTTAACTCATTTTTTTTTATGAATTTCATCATTTAATATTGAGTTATTCAAAAATTAAACTTTATGATTTGTTTTGTTTACTTTTTATTAGGTTATTCCGATCTTATGACCCGAAAATAGTGCTTAACAGGTTAACTTGAGTTGGTTCGAGATATTTTTTAATGTTTTTTAATTAATTTTTTTCTAATTTTATCGTTCATCATTAAGTTGATTAAGAATTGAGTTTTATAATTTGTTTTAATTTACTTTCTACGAAGATATTTTATTCTCATAATCAAGGTCATATATTTTGGTATTTTTACCCTATTAAATCAGATTGTTTCTTTAATTTTTTTCTAAAAGATTTTCTCGGTCTTACAATCTAGAATACAGATCCTTCAACATTGGATTCACTTTTTATTTGACTGTCCTTATCTCATTACTCAGGTTACAGATTTGATATGTTAACCTAATTAACTAAGGGATTGTAATAGCTATAGCGGTTTAAAGTGTTTTTCACTTAGAAATATATTAAAATAAAATTTTTTTATTTTTAAAAAATTATTTTTGACATCAGTATATCAAAACGATCTGGGAACATAATTTTTTTTCACTTTAAACAAATAAAAAAATAAACAAAATTTCAAAAAATTTTAGAAAGTGGTCTGCGCGTTCCCAAACACACCTCAAAGTTTTTTCCTTATTTTAATTGGTTTTTTTTCTTCTTCATCATTTAATATTACATTTTATTAGAAATTGAGCTTTATTATTTATTTTAATTTATTTTTTATTATGTTATTTCAGCCTTATAATAAGGGAATAATACTTAACAAGTTAATCTCTATGGACATGGCTAATGTTTTATGTCATTTTTTAAATAAAAGTTTTATAAATTTTATTATTTAATATTAGATCAGATATAATTGATTAAAAATTAAGATTCATAATTTATTTTAATTTATTCTCTATGATATTATCTTAGTCTCGTGACAAACATAGTGGATTTGATAGATTATCCCGGGTTAAATCAAGTTATTATTTTTTTTTATGAAATTATCTTGGTATCATGACCCGACTCATGAGTTTAATGGATTGACTTGAGTTGTTTTTTATGTTTTCTTAATTAATTTTTTTAATGTCATCTTTCAATATTAAACTGATTAAGAATTGAGAATTGAAATTTGTAATTTTTTTTAATTTAATTTATATGGGATAATCTCAGTTTTATGACCTAGGTTAACTCGTATTGTGTTTTTAGGTCTTTATTTATTTGATTTTTTTTTAAATTTTATCCTTCAATATTTGATTGATTATTAAACTTCATAATTTGTTTTGCTTTATTTTTCATAGAATTATTATAATATTATAATTTGATTCATGAATTTGACATGTTATCTATGTTGACTTGAATTAATCTACTATATTATTATTTTAATATAAAAAAGAAGGTTTGAATCAAATTATATTTTTACAAGGTATTTAAATTACTTTTGAATCCATAAATTCAACCCCTAAAAAATTTATTTTTTTACTAGAAAAAAATTAATAATATCAAAATATATTTTTTATGTTAAGTGAAAATTTAACTCGACTTGCGGTGAATAACTAGTTATTTTCTAATTAATTATATTGAGAGGAGAAGAAATGACCAGTGGTCTGTAATTGTAGTTAAAAATCAATTTTCATTTGTATTATTTCGAGTCAATTTTTCGGGAAAAAAACCCCTCTCATAACTGAAAAATGCGAGTAACTCTAATGGGTGTTAAACTCGGTCCATCTTAACAAATTGATTCGAGAAACTTATAATTCAGAGCTTAAACATGGTTGGGTTTTTAGTTAATCAAACAAAAACAAAATATTAACCTAACTAATTACTTTCTATCTAACTATGTTCTTAATAACTTTGTTCGAACATGGCTTAAATGCTACTAGATCAACATGCAAGAAAAAAAAATTATTGACCACTGATTCAATAACTCGGGGGGTTTTCCAGGTTTTTTCGTCGAACAATTTGACAAAACATATTGATCATAAAGGGATGAATAATCTAAAATAATAATAATAATAAAAATAAAAACTAAGGGGGTAGAGAACTAGGAAAGTGACAGAGGAGTCTGCAATCTGTACACTAAGGGGGTAGAGAGCTGGGAAAGTGACAGAGGAGTCTGCAATCTGTTGAACCATTGCTAAATAAAGGAAAATCCAAGTCAAAGGGAACATGCAGCGCAGCACAGATGAACAAAATAACTATCAGGATTTGTGCTGTTGGTGCTCAGTATAAGGGAGGGTAGCAATGTGGTTATGAGCCACAGTTCCAATCCACAGCTTCCCTTCTACTTCCCTGACTTCACTCACTAGCTTCATTACCTCACCCTTTGGATCCTCAAGAACTTCCAAGATCTCTCCATTCTCATTGAAGAGGGATACGACTGTGTACATCTTCATGCCCACCATCCTGGCTAAGTACCTCATTTGGATTGGTAACCGGAAATAAACACTCTTCATCCATGGATTCTGAGTAAGAACCTCCTGTGCTGCTGTCCTGCAGCAATCTATTGCAACCCAGAATTGGCCTCTATCATTAAGTCTTACGTTGTCTGGAAAACCAGGCAGGTTTGCGACAAGTTCCACCCTCCCGGTCTTCGGTCCTTCTAGCCAGTATTTCATTAGCCTGTGGCATTGCCATACATGTTAAACAAAACGACCAAGCTCGTCATAACCGACTACTCATCATGCACTAATGTCCATGATGTTCGTAGTGCAATCTTTGGATGGAGTACTAATTTGGTTTCTTTTAGTCGGTCACCGAAAAGATCGAATTGGATCATACAACATCTCAATATTTATGTCAGGATATTGAATTTGTGGAATTACAAGGATGTATGCACATTACCTGCAATTGGTAGTCTCGGTGAAGACAATGAAAGTTTGGTCCCTAGATAGCTGCACTCCATTTGGAAATGCTAGGCCATCCAATACTACATGAGTTGTTTTGGTAGGAGGGTCATATCTGAGAAGCCTACCGGTGGATTCTCCTTCCAACAATCTGAAGAAATGGTCCCTGCAAAACAAGTTCCTATCAACAGCTCCAAAATTGTACAGAAATAGCCAAATCTTGTAAGAACAGCTCTTACACTCTATCGTATCTTTTGCTGGTGTCAGTAAAGAAGATGGATCCATTCTTGTGTATGTCAAGGTCATTTGCAAAGAGTATTTGGTCCCCTCCCAAATGAGTTGCCAAAGGAGTAGCAAGCCCTCCTTCAGGTCCAACTACCAGAAGGCCGTAATAAGCATCAGCAATGTACAAATTTCCACTCTCTTTGTGGAACCTTAGACCCAGGGGGCGACCACACAGTTTCTCATGCTTCCATTGCTTTGATGTGGTCGAGTCAACTCCTCTGGCACAAAGTTTCTCTGACCTTTCAAAGCCAATTCAAAGAATAGTTAGTATATATCAACAAGGAGATATTAAAAGAGAAAACAAATTCATGTTCCAGATTTCTTTGATTTGACTCACTAGCTTATTGATCTTAATTAATAACTTGATTAGAGAAAGTTTTCCCTCAACACAAGCTAATTACTTGGCATACGCTCCAGTTAAAAATGCCAATAATTTTCGCATATCCAAACTATAAATAATCTACACGAACTTGATTATCCTCTTGATTTGTTGAGATATGAAGTGGGTTAGTTTCAGAGTAGATGAATACATATTCTCTCTGCTTTCATCAAGTCATTAATAGAACTCACCAGTTTGAGGTAACAAGTGCAAAGGTTTCCCATCCAACATCCTGTCCCATCCATCTCACAACGCGTCCATCGGCCAAACCAGCGTAAGGGCCTCGCCCCAGGCTGTCGAACTCCAACGATTCAGGGCCGAAAACTTCATCGACAAACTCCAAATTTCCGGACCCTAATCGACTTCTATTGTCTCTAGGCCAGTTTTCCATGACTTGCTTGTAAGGGGCAAGGTCATGCTTAAAAGGCTTGAAATCATGGTCTCCTAAAGGTCCCATTTTAAACGGATCGATTATAACAAAACTTACAGCTAGAGCAAGAACTAGGAGAAGTGGATGCTGCAACAAAGTCCCATCTCTTTGTGATCCCTTCTTCTCCATCTCGAGGAACTTGGTTGGATCAAGAGAAAGTGTGTTGCGGTAAGGAAATATCTAGTGAGGGTGTAAATGGTGGATCGTGAGGACACAACTTAGTTGATTTTCATATGTTAGGAAGTAGAGAGCATGCAGTGTTCGTGATTTCATTGAGTTCAGAAGTAGGTTGTCTGTTGTTGGCCATGTTATTTGCATTTCTTCTTATTGTTGAGGTACTAACCAGAAATTATGATTTCCCTCTGGCAACAGAATAAATTCTATCCATACGTCTAATTCAATCGAAACATTCAAATGTAAGCATTGCCTCCATGAATGGAGTCTTTTTAACTAGTGATGAAAGTAAGTTGGCTGCATCCATAAGGAATGCAATTTGTACAGAACAATTTTTATAGGACAGCTGCAGAGGATGAGCCTCATCATGATAAAGCTTTTGGGTATCTTGTTTACTGTATTGGGACAAAAAAAAAAAAACAGAGATAGTAGAGATAGATATGACATGTACTTCCTGTTTTGCAGAAATTCACTAAAAAACTGTGAAAGAGACATTATGTCCCCGTCTGTCTCTTTGATCAAATACGATTCTGTTTCTTCTGCATTTGTCCTTCATTTCCAAGAACTGAACAACTTTCAAATCCAACAACTACATGTCATTTACTTGTATGTTATTTGAAACAATGAGTGATCAGCATAAAAACAATAACATTTGGGTAGGTCGTTTGGTATTTTGATTGGTTTAGCTCATACAGGCAAAGAAGACATGCAGGGAGCGTTGGTGCGCATGGACAGTTTTTTTGCCGGTGCGTGTTGACCTGTTCGGCCATTTGATGTTCGATTTCTACACTGTTTTCACCAGTATGCTCGTTTTTTCTTCTTCTATGTAGTGTTATGGTTAAAATATAATTTTGATAACTTTTATTTTTGAGTAAAAAATCAAATATCACTTTAAACCAAATGCTTTGATACTAATTATTGGGGATTGGACCGATAATGTTCTGATAATTGCTTATTGAAGATTAAGTACACTAACACAATATTTAACGTAATTTTACAAATAACTTATATCCACAGGAAAAATACATATTATTAAAAATATAAAAAAAATACAATACAAATATATATAAAAAAAAAATCACATCTACTTTCCTCAGCTCTTATGTTTCGTTAGTTTCCTCAACTCTTATGTTTCATTGATGTAATTGCAGTTACTGTTATTAGTAGCCTTTCATCAGTTTCTCTCTTGATCTGCACATTCTGCACTCTCTCTTTCATATTTTTTATTGTTTTTTTGGTGTTTATTTATAAATAAAAATGATAAGACAATTTATAATTGCCACGTATTAATCGCAATAATTCTTTTTTGGTGCGTGTTGGCCTGTGCGGCCATATTTGATGTTCGATTTCTATACTATTTTCACTAGTATGCTTGTTTATTTCTCCTTTATACAGTGATATGGTTAAAATATAATTTTAATAATTTTTATTTTTGATCAAAATCAAACACCATTTTAAACCAAATGCTTTAATACCAATTGTTGAGGATTCAGACCGGTGATATTCTGATAATTGCTCATTGAAAACTAAGCACACTGACACAATATTTAACATAATTTTATAAATCACTTATATTCAAAAAAAAAAAAAATTATTAGAAATAAAAAAAATACAATACAAATATATATATAAAAAAAAATCACATTCACTCTATTCAACTCATTAATGTAACTGCAGTTATTAGTAGCCTTTCACTCTCTCTCTTGATCTGCATATTCTGCACTCTCTCTTTCATATTTTGTATTACTTTTTTGGTGTCTATTTATAAATAAAAATGGTAAGACAATTTATAATTGCCACGTATTAATAGCAATAATTCTAACACAGTCTGAGGAGTCAATTTCACTGTACAGAGAAAAAAACTAACCTACGACAATGGAGGAGGAGCAACACCTCAACTTAACTCCCACTCTCTGTAATGGTCTCACATCTCTCTCTCTCTCTCTCTCTCTCTCTCTCTCTCTCTCTCTCTCTCTCTCTCTCTCTCTCTCTCTCTCTCTCTCTCTCTCTCTCTCTCTCTCTCTCTCTCTCTCTCTCTCTCTCTCTCTCTCTCTCTCTCTCTCTCTCTCTCTCTCTCTCTCTCTCTCTCTCTCTCTGCTGCTACAGCTACTGCTTGCTCTAATGCTCTACATTGTGCTGCTTATTTTTTCTCTTGTTATTGCCTCTATTTATGCTGGAAATGGGGGAGCAACCATCCGCATTTCTAGCTCACCTCCACCTTTCCAGCCTAGCACCACTTTCCAGGTTGTCTTTATCTCCACTTCTCAACACCATACTCCATCATCATCATCCACGCTTCCGTAGATTTTGAATTTTCAACGCTATCAACTACAAAAATAAAGGGAATCTTCATATAATCCTACATCTACCCTTGATTTATAATTACCTCGAAAATCCTGCGGCAATGAGGATAATCTGAATCTCTCAATTTCAAAACCAAAAGCACAAATTCGAATTGGAAGAAAGAAACCGAAAGTTCTGATGAAAGCTCGGAACTCCATTCAAAAGCAGCAGCCAGGTTCTTGTCATCAGAGTGACTAAATCCTCCTAAGTAGATTGATCAAAGTAGTTTTTAAAATTGCTTTTCACTTAAAAAACAATTTCTATATATGTTCTTATGTACTTTTCTATTATAAGTGTCCTTTCTGTAGCGAAACAGTAACCAACTACTGCCTTGGTAACTCTTCTTCATCCCAATTCAACTAAAAAAATCTGCAACACTATCATATAACTTCTGTCAGCACATGCTGAGCAACACATTACCTGTCCCTCTTAATCAACAACTTAATGTCTCAACGAGTAGAAAGAAGAGCAGGGTTAACATCATCACCCCGCGACAAAGGGCGGCTGGAAATAGGCTGCCTGGAGCTTGAGTGGCCTGCCGAAGGATGCAAAACACCGCCATTAGAGGCTTGCTGACCAGGTTGAAATTATCGAGTTTGGAAGAAAAACACGCAGGAGAGAAGGAAGGGTGAAGGGCATATCGATCCGGACGTGAAGAGGGGTATACAGTTCTAAACCTTACCAACCGAACGTACTCGGTTGCTACTCGGTTGCGGTGCTATTTAGCAACGGAGCTTGATCATTTATAGGTGCTATGCTGTTGAATTTTTTATTTTTAATTTGAAAAAATATTTAAATATTATTAACATGTTAATCAAAAGAATTACAAATACCTAATAATTTAGCAAGTTCAACAGCAAATGATAACAAAAATATAATTAAATTAAAAATAATTTTAAAATAATATTTTTTTAATATTAAAATAATAAAATATTGAATTCTCTCGAATTAATCTAAGTTAATATATTAATTTTATATCTGAATCATGAGATTATAATATTTTAATAAAAAATAAATTAAAAATTTTAATTAAATTCTTAATTAATCTAATATAAAAAATAAAATTAAAAAAATTAATTAAGCTTTATTTTTAAACAATTTAAATGGTGAAATATAAAATTTTAAAAAAATTCAATTACAAAATAAAATAAAAAAATCTTGAGTTAACCAGATTAATCCATGAAATTCCTCACTTCAGTAATGTAATTATGATAATATTATAAAAAATAAACTAAAATAAATTATTAAACTTAATTAATAAAAAATAAAATATTAAAAAATAAAATTAAAAGAAAAAACAAAGAAATAACAATTTCATTTTTTCAAATATTTCTTGTTAATTTTGATTGCAAACTTCGGCAAATTAGTTTTTTTTTTAGTGAATTCGGTTCCAATTTTAATTGTCAACCCAATGTAGATTCTTAAAGTTAAAAATGAAAAAAATAAGTTGGTGTCATTTGGTTGCAAATAAAAAAAAATTAAAAAAAAATTCAACTTTTTCTTCCAAGCATTTATAGGATTTTAAAGTTTAAAAGTGAGTAGGGTATTTTTTTTAGTTCAATAATCAAAACTAATTTTTCTTCCAATTAATTTAAAAGGGCACCAACTCACAACATGTAATTGGTTTAGGATTATTTGATTGTGTATTGTAATAAAAAAGATGAAGACAACATAAGCATATCTTTTTATATTATTTTTTTAATTTTGAAAGTATATAAATTTATTTTAAAAATATATTGATTTTGTGTTTCTTTCTCATTCCTCTAACTACCTGTTCTTTATCTTTAAAGACTAACCAAACGCAAAGTCTACAAATTAAAGAAAATAGGGAAAGACTTGAGAGAAAAAAGCAATTCGAGGTTAAGTCTACAAATTAAAGAAAATGGGAAAGACTTGAGAGAAAAAAGCAATTCAGTAGGGATGACATTGTAGTTTTTCCATGAAACAGTCTACTTGAGATGATCAAAGGAGCCCGAGAGACGTGGAGCTTTTCTGATTGGTCAACAGCATTAGATCTGTCAGAAATTTACTTGGTACCGGTTTTTCCGGTATGTCCTCCATGTCATAATCATCTCTCACTCTCAAAGACTAACTGCTTTAGCCAGTTTTCAGTAAATAACAAACGGAGCAAGTTTTCTTCGTGAGGACTATCAAAATCTATACAAACGAAAAGCAAACAACTTTTAACCTTTATTGAAGGCTGTCTTTAAGCTTCCTTGCAAGGCAAATCAAGCAGACAAAACCCTTTATGTATCCGTTTCTAATTTGGGTTTTTTTCAGAAATCTTGATTCTTTGAGTGACCCTTTGTCTTCTCCACAAAAAGGTTAGAACTTTGTGGTTTTAATTGCTTTTTTAGCTTAATTTCTTTGGTGTTTCTGTTTTTTGGCTTGTGGGGATTTTAGTTATTGAATGATTTATGTTTTTGGTTGCAAATCTGGTAGGATTTTGTAGCTGCCCTTTGGGGGTTTCTTGCTAAATTTACACTTGTGTAGACAATAGCATGTTTATTTGAGTGGTTTTTTTTTTTTTTTTTTTTTGTTTAAAGGTGGCTCTTTTGGTTTTGGTTTTAATTTTGATAATTTGTTGATTCTTTTTGCGGTTTTAGATGTAATTGGTGTAGTGTAGTCTACTTTCTTGGCAAATGCTGTGGATTTTGGTTTGGTGGGGTTTCATTGCTGGTTTCAATCATGTTGTTGTGTGTTTGGTTCATGTGAATTTGTTTTCATGAAAGCGAGGTAGATTTGGAAACATTTTTCCATGAAAACTGTGTTCATATAACTATATGTACCAAAGCTTATCACTTATACGTGTTGATACATACGATAAATTATTAGTTCTTGATGATAAAATTTTTATTCAGGTCAATAAAAGCTCATAGAACAACCCTTTAAAGAAAATTTTGCAGTGCCTAATGTATGGAGATTCTTGACTCTGAAACTAGCAATCTCTTTATCTGGTTATGTTTTGATGGGTTTGAGAGAGTAATGTTTAGTCATTTCATGCATGTTTTGTTTTATGACGTGAGGGCGCTTTTTATCTTCATAGAGTTGGCAGGAGTAATGTTTAGTCATTTCATGCATGTTTTGTTTTATGACGTGAGGGTGCTTTTTATCTTCATAGAGTTGGCAGGAGCATATTTAGAACTGTGCCACAGATTGCATATGTCTGATCTTTCCCATTATTGGTTTTGTTCTGTCACGTTTGGTTAATTGATATGTTTGGTCCAAACAGAGTCATATGGCCAGCCTCGGTGATGGGGAGCATCAATGGTTAGAGAGAGTAAAATCAGAGGGGGCTGTTCCACTACTTGATCCAGATAATTGTTCAAATGGCTGGGCATCTCCACCTGGAGACTATTTCATGGTAAGAGGTCCAGAGTATTTGACAACTAAGACTAAAATCCCTGGTGGAGAATATCTTTTACGGCCTCTTGGATTTGACTGGGTTAAAGGGTCTAATAAGATTGCAGAGGTTTTGAACAATCGAAAAAACCGTGTGAGGAAGGTTATTGATGAAGAGTTTCCAGATGGTGATAAGCCTTTTGTTTGGGCATTTAATCTACAACTCCCGGGTAAGGACAACTATAGTGCTGTGGCGTATTTTGTAGCCACAGAGCCATTTCCTGAGGGATCTTTAGTTGATCAGTTCTTGAATGGTGATGATGGGTTTAGAAATTCAAGGCTTAAACTGATTGCCAACATTGTCAAAGGCCCCTGGATAGTAAGAAAGGCAGTCGGAGAGCAGGCTGTGTGCATTATTGGGCGTGCCCTTTCTTCGAAGTACTGTGTTGCAGAGAATTTCTTCGAAGTGGATGTGGATATCGGATCTTCAATGGTTGCAAGTGCAATAGTTCATTTGGCATTTGGTTACGTCTCAATGTTGACTGTTGACCTGGCTTTTCTCATCGAGGCTCAAAGTGAGTCAGAGCTTCCAGAACGACTCTTAGGCGCTGTCAGGTTTTCTGATCTAAACCCTGCTTGTGCTTCCTTATATGACCTGTCATATGGAAGTACTGATAATTTGCAGTCCTCATTGCCGACCCGCTTATGGAAGTCAATTGGACAGGGGTTTTCTCAGCTCCTTCATCCCATGCCAGGGGCTCAAGAAAATAGTTCTGCCTCAGGCACAACCCATGGTAATGAAACTTCTGAGCTCAAAGAGGGGAGTGAAGACACAAAGAAATGGTAAGAGTTGTGAATTGCAATTACCTTCATATTCTTACATTTGAATAAGTGAAGGTTTAAATTTTGGTCTGTTTCGAGCTGTTTTGGGCCATGTAAAAGTGAGCTCGCAAAAAAGATCTCAAGTTTTCAATAATATATTTGGTTTGCATCACAAGGAGGACAGGGATCTGGCATGCGTAATTAAACTCTTTGCATGCAACTTCTTCTTTTGTATGTCATATTGACATGTGCTGATTGATGGTATTTAAACTAAAGATGCACGCAATCTATGATTTGTTTCCATCATCTGGAGGTTTTTAACTTATAATACTTGTATAACATGCAAAACCATTCGATGCCCTAATCTCCAAATCTGTTCTCATGCCCGCCTTTCCTTTTCAAATACGAGTACTAGGATTGTTCTTCCTTATGTTAATTGTTGCTTTCCTGTCAATTTCTGTCTTGGTTGAGTATGCAAGTATTATCAATCACCAGATTCTCAATCCTACTTCATAGTCCTTGCTTTGGAGGAAAGTCCATCATCAGTGTCCGTTCCCAAGACCATTTCCCTAATTTACAAAATCCGCTTACTCCAGAAGTTGGCTATATTCCCACGCGTACCATGTCTCAATAACTGCATCCAACTTATCCTGCGCCTCTTGTGCAATTAGTTAAAGATTGATTAAAGCTCTGAGATATTCTCTATAAAAGTAAAGTGCAGAAACTTTATGTGACAGATTTTTTAAGGCTCTTGTTTATTATCAAATTTCTCAAGAATTGTTCCAGACATTTCATTTCATGCATGTGATACATTTATCATGGTGCATAATCTATTCTTAAAAAGTTATTTGCCTTGCTGGTTCTAAATTTATTAATTGGCATCCATTTTTCTTTTAACCAATCAATGTGGTCGAGCACTGAACTAACTGTTATCCTTTGATGAACTGTAATATTTGCAGATGAATCAGATGCTCCTGGTGGACATTGTATATGTGGGTGTTGGAGTAGCTTAATCTAGAAGTCACAGAATGATTTAAGTGGTAACAAGTATCCAATGTTCACTGCATTCAACTGCTTGGTTGCTAGTCCTAGTCGTGCCATTTTATTCTTTCGATTTGTTGTAGTTATGAATATACTATATTGGCGAGCAGTCAACGAGCCATGTTATTTATTGGGAAGTATTAAAATTGTTGATAGCGTATTCTGATACATTTGTAATTCAAAAGTATTATTTTCACAAAAAGCTGAGTTGAATTTGCTAATTTCATTTCTACTATTAACTTGGGGTTATGAGGAGATGATCGAGGCAGGACAGTGTAGCCTTCCTTGGCAAGTTGGAATTGCGCCTTGATTAGCTTCAAGCTCTTCCACTGCCGCTGGCTGTGGTCCTAGTGGTTGGTACCTTGCTGTTTCTTGATCTAGACCTCTTGCATCTTATTATGGATTGCCTTTTCGTTGAGCTTATGAAGTCCCTTTCCTGTGTAGTTGGCTGTAAACTTTATGGTTATACAACAAAACTTGCAACTTTGTGTCAATTCTTTTCGGCTATCAATGGCCATCTGCAGGAACTACTGTCAGCGTCACATTTGGTAGGGATGAAACATATCTCAGCTTTGATGTAATCTGTTTACTGTTGCCCGTTGTACTCCACACGTTACCTTCTTTCTGGCTTAATATAAGGACTGGATCATGTTGATTGTTAGCACTTGTGTGTGTCTAGTGGGGCTCAGGCAATGCAATCCAAGCAGTTTTAGCCACTATAGATGGCACTCAAAGATGATGTGAAGTATGCTGCCATTCTAGAGCTTTGAGATTAGATAAGCTCGGTCCAAAAGATCTGAAACAGCTTATTAAATTTATGGTATTTTGGATTCTTTTAACCTAAGCAGTGCATAATCCAGCAGGCAACAAAAATCAGCTGAACTAATTGTTCCATCAGGAAATACTTGAAAGCTAAATGATAAGGCCATTCAACAATGAGAATTCAAGGCTAGGACAACCGGGCAAAGTGATCTCCATGCAAAAAGAATCCATGAGAACCCGCAGGAGACCCTCAAACAATGGCATTCATAGCATGCAAGTTGAGCATATCCAATATAAACGATTGGCATAACTGTCATCACTACATTCGGCAAGTGTTTTGTTTACCAGATCAGAACACACACCAACACCCCCCCCCCTTTATTTATTTATTTTTTGCCAAAACCTGAGTGCTTCGTAAATGAATAATCAAAGAATTCATCAATCTGAGACTGAGAAATCGAAGGAAAGTCTCATTCCCAGCAATTTTTTTTGCCGTAGCCAAGTAGGAAACAGTGCCTCCCCGGGTCTAAATTGGATGCGACTTTGCATATGATGATTGATAGTGATCCGTGAAAGAATGAAACAGGAAACATCGTCCAAACAACCATTGCGTGCATGGATGCCCTAGCCATTCATTTATGCAATAAATAACTATAAGCATAGCATTCATCCAAAAGAAAAGAAAATAAAACTTGTGCATCACAGTCAAACAATGGTAAGAGTGCAAAATACAAGTAGAGAGTTGAGCAACAACTGAAGCAAAAAAAATTGAATACAAAAAAGCATGTTCAGTTTTTAAGCTTTATAGTTCATAGAACAGTAATATCTTCATTACATTACAACGGATCTGTGAACAAGTTACGTTTCATCATTTCTTGAACAATATTGTGCCTAACAAAAAAGAAAATCACGAGATCAGAAGACCCAAAGAATTTCAAAAGGAAGAAAAGCTGCAGTACAACAAACAAGGAACTAGAGGGCAAAACAATGGCCGATAATCTCAAACCACATTGGTCTGCAACAACAAGCATTTACCATTCTAATAAATGACTGAATGCGAAAGCTGCACCTGTAAATCTGTAAGTCTACAGCAGAAATGAGTGCCAGCTTGAGCTTTGATGGCCGGGAAGATGCGACAAATCCCAGTGTAAAAGTCCAGCTTGACAGAGCATACTTAAATAGTATCGAGATTTGACTCTTCAGAAAGTAAAGCCCCTAGTTAACAAATGGGGATAACATCTTTAACAGAAGTTAAACGATTTCAACACCTTCAACTGGTAGTGCACTCATCTGCAATGCTCTACCAGTTCCAGGAAACCGCACAGAAGGCAAGGAAGTATCCATGACAGATTCAATCTCAATAAAATCAAAATCATAAGCACCTGACCGCTTCAAACTGACCACAGAAAAAAGCACAATCCATCCAAGCATCGATATTGCCCAGAAATTGTTCATCCCATGTATCAAACCCCATGCTATAGCATATCCAACAACAATTCCCGATAAATGGCCAAGAAAACTCGCTTGTGGAACAATAATTGATGTAAAAATCAATGACTCAAAAGGCGCAAAACTGATAGGAAGTGAAAGGAATCCAAAAAGATCCAACTTCGAGGATGGTTGCTTCACAGAAAGAATTGTCATCCAACCAAATACAACACAAGAGTACCCAACAGCTGTCACTCTCCGAAAATACTCTAGCTTGAATCTTTGTATCAATATATGGTACATCCCCAGTACTAGTGCCCCAGACAATACGACCAACACAAGCGTGTAGTGAAGATAGTACGCCATTCCAAGGCCAATGTGCCCCAACTGTTCTACAACCCCTAGACTCCAAAGTGCGCTCATATTGAAAACAAGATGAATAACACTAATATGTGAAAAAGCAGAGGTAATTATCCTCCAATGGTGCCCTTCAACTGCATTTTCATAACTTAGTCCCACATGAGAGTACCCGATATTTTTCTTCTGAATATAAAACCATATAGCGCTACATATTCCAATCACACAACTTGTAGCTGGTTTTTCCACAATCTCATAAAACAATGGCCTCCCCATCTAGATAAAGCCCTTGTTCACTTCCTCTCTTTAAAAACACAAGTTACTCAACAACGCAATACCAGATAGAGCTTTTCCACAACCACAAAATCCACCAAAGCTCCAACAAAAGTGGGTTCTCCTCAGAGATCAAAACTTTATAAGACAACACAAACCCATTTCAAATCTAACAAATTTGAATAACCCCAAATGAAAATAACACCAGAAAACCTAAATTTTACACATCCAGAGGTAATTATCCTCCAATGGTGCCCTTCAACTGCATTTTCATAACTTAGTCCCACATGAGAGTACCCGATATTTTTCTTCTGAATATAAAACCATATAGCGCTACATATTCCAATCATACAACTTGTAGCTGGTTTTTCCACAATCTCATAAAACAATGGCCTCCCCATCTAGATAAAGCCCTTGTTCACTTCCTCTCTTTAAAAACACAAGTTACTCAACAACGCAATACCAGATAGAGCTTTTCCACAACCACAAAATCCACCAAAGCTCCAACAAAAGTGGGTTCTCCTCAGAGATCAAAACTTTATAAGACAACACAAACCCATTTCAAATCTAACAAATTTGAATAACCCCAAATGAAAATAACACCAGAAAACCTAAATTTTACACATCTAACCAATCCAACATGAATAAAAATCGGGGTTTTCTATATAATCAAACACCAACCCTTTTCTCACACTTAATTCCTCATTAAGTATAAGTAAATTCTACACGCAAGTAAAGGTACTAAAATTCTGAAATTCCTATTGCAAGAACAATAATAGAAAAGAAAGTTTAGATTTTTTACACCAAAAAGTAAGAGAACAAAGCAATTTTTTAGAGAGATAATTTCGTCACCTTTTTGCTTCAAATTGATTGAGAAGTTGCTTGAGCTTTCTAGTTTTCTGCTTTCTGGGTGTTTCTGTCTTTTGCACAGATGTCATCGTTTTGAAAGCTTATATATGGTACAGCCTTCTGAACAGCAAGGAGACGTGGCTCACCTCATTGATGTTTGCCCAGAGGTGGCATTTAAGGACAAATGACGTGTAGTTTGCATTGTGTGTTTGAACGACATATGACAAAAGCACAAGTGGTGATTACGAGCTATTTGTGAACGCGTTTAAACTAAAATTTGATTTTTTTTAATGTTTTTTTTTTATTTTTTTAATATTAAAAATAATTTTTAAAAATAAAAAAAATATTATTTTAATATATTTTTAAACAAAAAATACTTTAAAATATAAATATTATTATACTTTTAAACATCTTCGAACAAAAAAATTACTCCTAATATTTTTTTCAAAAATAAATCTACTTCTCAAAAGATATAAATTAGGTGTGACGGTGCTGATATAGTAATTAATTACATTTTATTAGTTACTCAGCAAGTTTGATTGAAAAAACATAAAAATAAAAATAAAATAAAACTTATGACTCATTAAAAATAATAAAAATATTTTTTTAGATTTTTATTTATATCTATATATTTTTTTTAAACGGACACATAAAATAACTAATAAAATTTAGCAGCTTGAGATAACCCGAGGATGCAAGTGGTAAATGATTTCATGGGTTCCCTATTAATCTACTATTTCTTCCTCTTTAAAGCATAATTGTGAACAGCTTACATGTATGAACAAGTTGTTTTCGAGTTACATGTTTTTTAAATTATTTTTTATTTAAAAAATATTAAATTAATACTTTTCAGGGTATTTTTATATATATAGTTTTGATGTATTCCCTACTAATTTGTTATTTTTTAATACATTTTAATTATATAATATTTTTAAAAAAATATTATATATTACAATACTAAATATATATTACATCATATTGGTTGAAGGTTGAGTTTGTCGAAGAATTAATTTAATTTTAAATTTAAAATTATTAAATAAGATTTAAAAATATTTTTTATATTATTTTTTAATAGATTTTCTTAAATAATTTTTTTTAAATTTAAAATTTATATAAGCTTATATTATTTTATATTTATTTTTTATTAAATAAATAATAATAATAAAATTCAACATATTTAGTTATTAAGATTTTAATATATTAAAGGAGTTGAAGTGGTGTTGGATACCTAGCTCCAAAGGCTACAATCAGCATGAACATCTCTATAGCGAGCCTTTGATTTAAGAGATTTATATGAATTACATGTATGCTCGATGAATACATGATGTATATTTGTGTCATTATATATCTGCTTTAATTTATTTTTTTTTGGATTGAAAACACTATGTATTTTAGGTTTTTTTTTTAATTAAAAAAATAGTTGCTGTGTATTTAAGTAATGAGTATTTGAATAGTTACTCTAAATGGTTGGATATCCAAAATCTATATCTATGTGAAACTAATGATTTTTCTAATAAAATATGATTTTTAACTTTATTTGAAGAGTAATTTTTTTCAATCTTTAGCTTTTATTATTACATTTGTCCACGCTAATCCATAGATCAAGGAAAAAAAATTTAAATGCAAAAACAAATTTAAGTATTAGTAACGTGTCTTCTAAAAAAATTAATTATAAATTAAATGATATTCTGATCTAATACTAAAATAAAAAAACATTTAATCTATTTGAATTAACTTTAGCCAATATTAGAAATTTACGGGGATAATTTAAAAAAATTAAAAAATTTAATTTTAAATTAACTTAATTTTAAAAAATAAAATCAATAAAAATTAATATTTTATTAAAAAATAATTTCAAATCATTTTTTTAAACCAAACATAAAATAGCAAAATAAAAAAGATTTCAGCTACATAGGACTGAGCATTTAAACAAATAGCCCGGACGCATTTAAACAAATAGCCCGGACGCATTGGCTTTCCAACTTAGCCCATGCTCCCGAGTTTGTTTTATATTTTTATTTCTTAAAAGGTCACCTACAAATAAGGGGTTTGATTTATTTATTTTTATTAAAAACTTATTTTTAACTCAAAAAACCTACAAAATACTTTTATAATTTTATCTATGATCACAAAAAATCCCAAAAAGTAGCTCAAAATATCAAAATTAACTCGAAGTTAAAATTATTACTGTAGTCATATTTACCTCCTTGGTTAAGGAGAAGAAAATAAATACCTAGATCAAACTCTTCTTGTGAAATGAAGCATATTAATATAAAAATTAATCATTGTTATGGTAGGATATATCAACAATGATGAATTTTTCTTGTTACACAAAAATTTAGTGAGCCTTTTCTCTCCTTTAATCAAAAGAGATTAAAAATAAAAAAAATAAAATTTAGTATTAAAATTAAATTTTAAAAAATTAAAAAGATTGATCCCCTAATAATTAAAAAAGATGAAGAACTATAATAAACTTTTCAATTCAAATTCTAAGATATGTATTTTACATGTCCTTTACACTTTAATCTTCTATCTTTCAATTCAACAATTACTATCAAAAAGACATGTAATTGGTGCTAATTTAGATTTAAAAAGATTCAATTATGTTTAAAAAAAAAATTATAAACCAAAATAAAATTTTTTAAAAATATTTCTATTTCAATTCACAATAATTTATATAAAGATAAACAGAAAAAAAAATGCTATAGTGGTTTCCTAAAAGGCTTAGTTTCTATTAATAATTCTAAGATGTTGTTAATAACTGGCATGTTTGTTTATTTATATTTTTGAGCTGAATTCCTTTTTTCTAAAAAAAAAAACCTCCAAAAACCTAGAAGTATTTATAGTAAGATTAGACATTGGGTTAGGTAACAAACGGATTTATTGCTCAAGTAATCTTACGAAATTTAATTCAAGCAAAAACTACATAAAATGTAATACACCTTACAACCCTTGCATGATTTTTTTTTATTAACATGAATGTTTAAATTAACTTAAATGCATCTTGATTTTATAATATAATTTTATTATTACTATAAATGCCTTAGCAACTATTATTATTATTATGATTATCATTATAAAGAAAAAAAATATTCTTTGCAATAATTTTTTTTTACAAATGCAACAGTGCATTAATATAAGTGATTGGTTAAAGATTGATATATACCTAGGGGTATTAGGCTTGTTAAAGACTCTGAAACAATAAAATTTAAATCATAAATACCTCACTCCTCTTATATTAATTATATTTTTAAAACTCAAATAGAAATTGATTGAGAAAAAAGTCAATTAATCAGGTGCACTACTTGTTTTTTTATTTTTTTAAAAGGTTAACAAATTAATAACTAGGTAGATCCAACTTTTTAATCAGATGGACCGTATTTTATGTTCTTTAATCCCGAGTGGATTCAATGGTCGGCAGACATCATAGAGGACTTTAAATATTTAGGGTATTATTTTTCAAGTGAACCCCAAAATGATTAGTCAATTAATCCATTACTCAATTGCAAATCTATCTGAAAAAATGTGTGCGCATAGCCTTGAAATTGACTTGGTAATAGCATGTTTAGTAATGTGCAGAATGTTGTTTGTTAAAAATTTATTTTTTTAAAAAAATAATTATAATTTTTTAATATTCTAAATCATTTTAATATACTAATATAAAAAATTAAATTTTAAAAAATTATTTTAATATATTTTCAAATAAAATAATACTTTAAAAAACATCATCTAAATATCAATAACTCTCAAAGATTGGCACACAAGAAGGATCTTCCCTGCTTTATTAATCTCGTTTATTACACTTGGCTAACGATAAGCCGTATCGAGACAAAACACTTGATGGCAATAATAAAAATAAAATGAAAGGAAAATTACGCTCATCACTCACACCATTGCCGTGGACACATCAACGAGAGGAACCAATTCTCCACCACCACCACCACCACCACCAGTCCTCTCCTCAACACAGAAATCCTCTCTAACCCACAAAACAGCATGAATCAAAACAATAGGAACTGTGGCTGCCAAGGTGATAACAAGATGCAAGCCAGCTTCTGTCACTATGAGCTCTACCATAGTTGCAACAGCTATCAAGCCAAGCACTATACTCTTATAAATAATCTTATGCAGCGAATAAAAATTTGGAGGAAGGGCACGCAATAATAACAGGTAAAGTGATGCAACATATGTCATGATGACCAAATAAATCAAAGAGACCTTGCGTTCTGGGATGAGGGCAATGAAGAGCACAATCCACACAAAATGTGTGTAATACAATGCAAAGTGGCCTAAATTTCTTATAATTCTGAGAGAAGCTGCTTCTGTGCTTGAAGGGATGCTGAAGGGGCACACAAGCCTGAACTCGGGTCGCTCGAAATCGTCACGGTTCTTTCCTGTCGAGTCCTCAGGGTCGGTCGGCGTGGTTGGTGTTGACATGGTGCTTGGCCTCTGAATGGTTCCATGACCAGCCATGGTTTGGTTTGATTAGAGAGAGATATGAAGCTTTATCAAGTATCTACGTGATGTGTTAGAGCTCAAGTGGTATCCTTGGTTTAGAGAAAGGAGAGATAGGGTTCTGCAGTCACCTTTCATATATATATATATATTAAGTTTTACAGTGGATATAGCTCATCCTCAACTTTATATAGCAGTTTTCTAGAGTTTATTTATTCAATAAAGGATATATTCACTCATTAATTATCAATATAAAAAATATTTAATCAAGCTTGTTTAAACTAAGAGTCATTTGGGTATGACTTAAGATCTTCACTTAAAAAAAAACCCTAAACATAAACGAGTTATATTTTTCATTATGTTTTATAAAATACATTAAAATAATATTATTTTTAAAAATTTATTTTCAAGACCGTACATTAAAACATCTAAGACCATAAAAAAAATTAATTTGAATAAAAATAAAAAATCTCAAAAGTTTTTTTAAATACAAAACCAAATACATCCTATATTTATTCATGAAGGGACTTGTATCAAGTACAAACTATAGGCTGTAGTGTGATTAAACCATGGAAAACATATAATATGATCAACAACTGATAGTAAACATAAACTTTAGAAGCATTTATAGTAAGATTAGACATTGGGTTAGGTAACACATGGATTTATTTCTCAAGTTATCTTATAAAATTTAATTGAAGAAAAAACTACATAAAATATAATAAATATAATATATCTTACAACCCTTGCAATATGATTTTTTTTTATAGTACTATGGGCATGCTAGCAGCTGTTGTTATCATTGTAACAGTAAAAAAATAGTCTTTGCAGGAAAAAAAATCTTTTGCAAATGCAACAGTTCATTAATAAGTGAATGGTTAAAGATTGATAAATAAAATTAAAATGATATTATTTTATTAATTTAAAAAAAAAAAAACAATAGCTAGATGAATCTAGATGGTCAACCATACTTTTTTTTCAATCAAAAAAGTATTATTATAGAGAATCTTTTTAAACGGTGATATAAATAAATATTATAGAGAATTTTAAATATTATTTTAATATATTTTTAAATAAAAAAATTATTAAAAACAACAAGAAAGCACAAAGTATTATCTTCCCCGCTTTATTAATGTCGTTTATTACATTTGGCAAACGATGAGCCGTATCGAGACAAAACACTTGATGGCAATAATAAAAATAAAATAAAAGGAAAATTACGATCATCACTCACACCATTGCCGTTGACTCATCAACGAGAGGAACCAATTCTCCACCACCACCACCACCACCACCAGTCCTCTCCTCAACACAGAAATATTCCTCTCTAACCCACAAAACAGCATGAATCAAAACAATAGGAACTGTGGCTGCTAAGGTGATAACAAGATGCAAGCCAGCTTTTGTCACTATGAGCTCTATCATAGTTGCAACAACTATCAAGCCAAGCACTATACTCTTATCAATACTCTTATCCAGCAAATAAAAATTTGGAGGAAGGGCACGTAATAATAACAGGTAAAGTGATGCCACATATGTCATGATGACCAAATAAATCAAAGAGACCTTGCGTTCTGGGATGAGGGTAATAAAGAGCACAATCCACACAAAATGTGTGTAATACAATGCAAAGTGGCCTAAATTTCTTATAATTCTTAGAGAAGCTGCTTCTGGGCTTGAAGGGATGCTGAAGGGGCACACTAGCCTGAACTCGGGTCGCTCGAAATCGTCGCGGTTCTTTCCTGTCGAGTCCTCAGGGTCGGTCGGAGTGGTTGGTGGTGACATGGTGCTTGGCCTCTGAATGGTTCCATGACCAGCCATGGTTTTGTTTGATTAGAGGGAGATATGAAGCCTTATCAAGTATGTGGCGTGTTAGAGCTCAAGTGGTGTCCTTGGTTTAGAGAAAGGAGAGATAGGGTTCTCTAGTCGAGGAAGAAAAGTCTTGTGAGTTTACTTGGAAAGTTCATAGCAATTTACCCATACATATTGCCTAGAGAACATTTACTAGTCAAAAAGCAGAGATCAAAAAATATTTTCCATTTAAAGTTTTCTTTTCTTTTTCTTTTTTATGGGGAGGGTGAGGATTTTCTATATATAAAAATTAAAATGAAAGAAATATAAGTGATTTATTATAAAAGAAATGGAGCAAACTAGGGGAAAAACAAGTATTGGTGGATGCCAACTGATTAATTTGAGAATTAAAATTGATTGATAATTAACAGATTTGAAATTAAAAAGGAGATTCATTTTGTTGCTTAAATAAATTAATGGATAATTAATAGTAAAAATATAGTTTTATTAAAAGATTAATAGAAAAAAAAAAGGGAAGAAATCATACATGAGAAGGCAAAGTAAACAGTGAAGTGGACTTGTGATGGATAAAATTGAAGTGACTTCTAAATTGGAGCTATACTCGTGAAGGTTTTACCCGGTCTTAATTTGATTTCTTTTGTTTTAGTTTAATTTCGTAGGTGCTCAACGATATAGTGAGATTTTTTTTTTCATCTTCTTTAATTTCTCTTGATTCTTGTATTACATGTTGAAATTCTTTAAAAAAATAGTGAAAAAAAAACTCAATACCAAAATATATAAGGGAGAGAAGTGAATATTAAAATTGAAAAATAATTTATTATAATTTTTTTATGTTTAAAATGTTTTTTAAATTGAATTTTTTATTTTAATTTTTTTTAAATTATTTTGATATGTTCATATTAAAAATAAATTTTAAAAAATAAAAATTATATTTTTATATTTTTAAATAAAAAATAATTTAAAAAATAATTAATACTACTATTATAAACTTTTAATAATAAAGTTTTTAAAAAATTTTAATTTTAATTTTTTTAAGTTAATTAAGCTCTTATAGGAGAGCTCAAGCCCATTAAAAGGATTTAGATGGTGCACGGCCCAAACAACTATTCAATATCAAAGTATATATATATATATATATATAAACCTTAGGTGCAAACGAATAAGAAAGAAATCCCATTATTAAAATAAGAAGCCATTAAAAGTAAGAGCATTTCCAACGTAAAAAGTTAAATTGAGAAGTTAAATTGATAAAATGATTTTTTAAATAGTATAAATAAGGTTTTTTTAATTATATATATTCTAATAGTAAAAAACTATTTAGAAAAGTCATTTATATTTTAATATATTTCATATTAAATTTATTTTTATATAATTATATAACTAATTTACATATTTTATATATAATATAATTATGATGTTATTAATTATATAATTAATATGAGTAATTTAAAAAAATAATATAAAATTTAATGAAATAATATGAAAGTTAAAAGATAAAATTAAACTTAAAATTTATTGATATGACTATTTTTAATTTTAGTTTTATATGTTACCATTAAAAATTTAATTTTTTAAAAGTAAATTCAAATTCAAACTTTGAAAAAAATCATTAATATTTTAATTTGTTTTTCAATTCTTTTTTTAAAATTCAGGCTTTGAAAAAAATGACCACTACCATTTTAAATTTTCAAAATTTAAAACAATAACTACCACCATTTTAAATTTTCAAAATTTTAAAAAATAACCGCCACCATTTTAAATTTTAAAATTTTAATTTTCAATAAGTTTCTTTTCTTGCTTTTAAATAAATACTGTTGATCAACGACTATAAAAATAGTCATTGACAACGTTAACTTAATTTTGCCTATTCTACATAAATATATAGAAATATCTCTTTTAAATTAAAAAAATAATTTTGATTTTTTTGTTGCCGGCTCTATTGGAATGACTTAATAAAAAAATTAAATGTAAAAATATATGTTTTTGTATTTAGCTCTCCATTTATATTTCCGGTTGGAGATGCTCTAATATAGCTTCTTCTTTTTTATTAAAAAAATATTCAAACTAAAAAATTAAATAAAAAAAAGGGAGGTGAAGCAATTTATTTGATTATGTAATATAATTCAAATGGATATTAAACTTAGACAACATATTCATTTACCTAATTTAGCTTAGAATTGAAGGTATACTCAAGCGACTTGTTGAAAACAATAATTGTAAGATGGCAATCGGTAGTTTTTTGAATTGCCCTTGTCTTCCTTAAGGCAGTTCATGCTTTAAGAATTCTATGTATTTTTTATTTTAAAAATACAGAAATTTATTTTAAAATTATGTTAAAGATAAATAATTAATATAAAATACTTGTATTAGTTGCACCTTTTATTTTTAATTATCTGTTAATCTAATTATAGTTGTATATATATACTTAGTTTATACAATAATAAAACTTAAGTCGTGTTCACCTACAAAATCATTAACTAGCTATTTAAGGAATGCCTAGTTTACGCAAAAGTGAGAATTTAATTACACTATTAACGAGAACTAATTGAGGAGGAGAATACCCTTTTTCTCACGAAGTGTTGTTAAATGGAATAATATTTTTTTTTTAATATTATATTTATTAAAAATTAAATTTTATAATTTATTTTGATTTATTTTTATAGAAATATTTAAGTATTGTAACTCAAGTCATGAGTCTTGTGTATTAATTTAGTTGATTCAGATTTTTTTTATTTTTTTTTATAATTTTTTAATTTCATCCTTTATCATTTGTGTTGATTGAAAATTAAATTTTATAATTTATTTTGATTTATTTTTATAGAAATATTTAAGTATTGTAACTCAAGTCATGAGTCTTGTGTATTAATTTAGTTGATTCAGATTTTTTTTATTTTTTTTTATAATTTTTTAATTTCATCCTTTATCATTTGTGTTGATTGAAAATTAAACTTTATAATTTATTTTAGTTTGAGTCAAGGGTTTGGCATGCTAAACTGAGTTGATTCGAGTATTTTTTTGTCTTTTTTTTTCAATTTTATTTTTTAATATTGTTGGATTTTAAGAATTGAGTGTTATAATATGTTTTGATTTATTTTATTTTGGGTTATTTTTATCTCATGATCTGGATTTGACAAGTTAACTTGTGTTGGCTTGAGGTTTTTTATTCTTTTTTAATTAATTTTATTTTAATTTTTTTCTTTAATATTAAGTTAATTAAAAATTGAGTTTTAATATATATTTTTATTTGATTTCCATGAGATTATCATAATTTTATTATCCTAACAACAGATTTTATATATTAACTTGGATTTACCCGAGTCATTTCATTTTAATAATTTTTAAAAAGATATCATTTTGATTTTTTTAATTTTTTTTCTAGTTGTGTAGGTTGTTTTTAAATTTATCAAATTGGTCAAGTCATATTAAATTAAACTCTACACTGTTAAATTTTAAAAATACACTTAATAATGTTTGAATATTTACTTAAAAAATTAATCTTAATCGCAACATAGTACAAATAAATGATCCAGAATAATATCTATAAATTTGAGGATATAACACTATTGTAAAGTCTCATTTAATAAGTTTTTTGTACTCGAAAGTAGAAGACACGGGCCAGAGAAAGATGGTGAAGACAATGCAATCAGGGAGTAAGCAGGGAAAAATTAAACTCTTGAAACTAGGCTTATTTAAACCATGTAGAATAAACTAAAAATAAATAAAATAAAAAAATAATATAAATAATTCATAATAGTAAAATTTATTTCTCACCGTAATTATATGCCATCAATAAAAACATAAATACATACATAATGTTGTGTGTGTATAAATATACACATACACAAATAATCAATTTAAAAAAAAAATTATTTTAATATATTTTTAAAAAAATACTTTAAAAAATAACTATTATTATACTTTCAAACATCTTCTAGCAAAAAAATTACTTCTAATATTTTGTTCAAAAATAAATCCACTTCTCAAAAGATATAAATTAGAGGTGATGATGCTCATAGTGATTAATTACATTTTATTAGTTATCATCAAATTTAATTAAAAAAATATAAAAATAAAATTAAAAATAAAACTAATGACTCATTAAAAATAATAAAAATATTTTTTTAGATTTTTTTCTATTTATATCTATATTTTTTTTTAAACGGACACATAAAATAACTAATAAAATTTATCAGCTTGAGATAACCCGAGGATGCAAGTGGTAAATGATTTCATGGGTTCTCTATTAACCTACTATTTCTTCCTCTCTAAAGCATAATTGTGAACAGCTTACATGTCATGAACAAGTTGTTTTCGAGTTACATGTTTTTTAAATTATTTTTTATTTAAAAAATATTAAATTAATACTTTTCAGGGTATTTTTATATATATAATTTTGATGTATTCCCTACTAATTTGTTATTTTTTTAATAAATTTTAATTAAAAAATAATTTTTTAAAAATATTATATATTACGATACTAAATACATATCACATTGAAGGTTGAGTTTGTCGAAGAACTAATTTAATTTAAAAAATTAAGTTATTAAGTGAAATTTAAAGATATGTTATATATTATTTTTTAACAGATTTTTTTAAATTTAAAATTTATATAAGTTCATATTATTTTGTATTTATTTTTTATTAAATAAATAAAAATAATAAAATTTATATTTAGTTATTAAAATTTTAATATATTAAAGGAGTTGAATTGGTATTGGATACGTCGCTCCAAAGGCTACAAATACAATCAGCATGATCATCTCTATGGCGAGCCTTTGATTTAAGAGATTTCTATGAATTACATGTATGCGAGTATCCAAAATCTATATCCATGTGAAACTAATGATTTTCCTAATAAAATATGATTTTTAACTTTATTTGAAGAGTAATTTTTTTCAATCTTTAGCTTTTATTATTACATTTGTACACGCTAATTCATAGATCAAGGTAAAAAAAATTTAAATGCAAAAACAAATCTATATATTAGTAACATGTCTTGTAAAAAAAATTAATTATAAATTAAAAAATATTTTGATCTAATACTAAAATGAAAAAACATTTAATCTACTTAAATTAACTTGAGCTAACATTAGAAATTTACAGGGATAATTTAAAAAAAATAAATTAAAAAATTTAATTTTAAATTAACTTAATTTTAAAAAATAAAATCAATAAAAATTAATATTTTATTAAAAAATAATCTTGAATTATTTTTTTAAATTAAATATAAAATAAATAAAAAAATAAATCACAGCCACATGGGACTGGGCATTTAAAAAAAATAGCCCAGGCGCATTGGCTTTTCAACTTAGCCCATGCTGCCGAGTTTGTTTATTTTTTTAAAAATCACCTACAGGGGGTTTGATTTATTTATTTATTTTTATTAAAAAATTATTTTTAACTTAAAAAACCTACAAAATTAACTCAAAATTAAAATTATTACTGTAGTCATATTTACCTCCTTGGATAAGGAAAAGAAAATGAAATATATTGATATAAATATCAATTATTATAATGGTTGGATATATCAACAATGATAAATTTCTCTTTCTACATAAAAATTTAGAGAGCCTTTTTCCTTTTTCTACACTAAATTTAGTAAGCATTTCTCTCTCTTTTAATAAAAAGAGACTGAAAAAAAAATAAAGTTTAATATTAAAATTAAATTTTAAAAAATTAAAAAGATTGGTTACCTAATAATTAAAAAAAATAAAAAACTGTAATAAACTTTTCAATTCAAATTCTAAGATATCTATTTTACATGTCCTTTGCACTTTAATCTACTATCTTTCAATTCAACAATATTTACTTTAAAAAAAAGACATGTAATTGGTGCTAATTTAGGTTTAAAAAGACTTAATTATATTTTAAAAAAATTTTAAAACCAAAATAATTTTTTTAAAAAATATTACTATTTCAATTCACAATCATTTATATATAAAGATAAACAGTAAAAAAAATGCTATAGTTGTTTCCCTAAAAGGGTTAGTTTCTATTAATAATTCTAAGATGGTGTTAATAATTGGCATGTTTTTTTTTTTTTGAGCTGAATTCCCTTTTTCTAAAAAAAAAAAACCCCCAGAAACCTAGAAGTATTTATAGTAAGATTAGACATTGGGTTAGGTAACACATGGATTTATTTCTCAAGTTATCTTACGAAATTTAATTCAAGCAAAAACTATATAAAATATAATATCTCTTACAACCCTTGTAATATGATTTTTTTTTTATTAACATGAATGTTCAAATTAATTTACACAATCATATAATATAATTTTTATTAATATTATAAACGTGCTAGTAGCTGTTATTATTATTATTATTATCATTATAAAGAAAAAAAATTCTTTGCAATAAGAATTTATTTATTTTTACCAATGCAACAGTGCATTAATAAGCGATTGATTAAAGATTGATATATCGAGGGGTCTCAGGCTTGTTAAAGACTCTGAAATAGTAAAATTTAAATAATAAATACCTCACTCCTCTCATATTAATTATATTTTTAAAACTCAAATAGAATTGATTGAGAAAAAAAAGTCTATATCACGGGTTAAGAGGATTAATTTTTATTAAAAAAAACTAAAATGATATTATTTAATTTTTTTTATTTTTATTTTTTTAAAAGCTTAACAAATTAATAAAAAAAGTCAATTAATCAGGTGCACTACTTGTTTTTTTATTTTTTTAAAAGGTTAACAAATTAATAACTAGGTAGATCCAACTTTTTAATCAGATGGACCGTATTTTATGTTCTTTAATCCCGAGTGGATTCAATGGTCGGCAGACATCATAGAGGACTTTAAATATTTAGGGTATTATTTTTCAAGTGAACCCCAAAATGATTAGTCAATTAATCCATTACTCAATTGCAAATCTATCTGAAAAAATGTGTGCGCATAGCCTTGAAATTGACTTGGTAATAGCATGTTTAGTAATGTGCAGAATGTTGTTTGTTAAAAATTTATTTTTTTAAAAAAATAATTATAATTTTTTAATATTCTAAATCATTTTAATATACTAATATAAAAAATTAAATTTTAAAAAATTATTTTAATATATTTTCAAATAAAATAATACTTTAAAAAACATCATCTAAATATCAATAACTCTCAAAGATTGGCACACAAGAAGGATCTTCCCTGCTTTATTAATCTCGTTTATTACACTTGGCTAACGATAAGCCGTATCGAGACAAAACACTTGATGGCAATAATAAAAATAAAATAAAAGGAAAATTACGATCATCACTCACACCATTGCCGTTGACTCATCAACGAGAGGAACCAATTCTCCACCACCACCAGTCCTCTCCTCAACACAGAAATCCTCTCTAACCCACAAAACAGCATGAATCAAAACAATAGGAACTGTGGCTGCCAAGGTGATAACAAGATGCAAGCCAGCTTCTGTCACTATGAGCTCTACCATAGTTGCAACAGCTATCAAGCCAAGCACTATACTCTTATCAATACTCTTATCCAGCAAATAAAAATTTGGAGGAAGGGCACGTAATAATAACAGGTAAAGTGATGCCACATATGTCATGATGACCAAATAAATCAAAGAGACCTTGCGTTCTGGGATGAGGGCAATGAAGAGCACAATCCACACAAAATGTGTGTAATACAATGCAAAGTGGCCTAAATTTCTTATAATTCTGAGAGAAGCTGCTTCTGTGCTTGAAGGGATGCTGAAGGGGCACACAAGCCTGAACTCGGGTCGCTCGAAATCGTCGCGGTTCTTTCCTGTCGAGTCCTCAGGGTCGGTCGGAGTGGTTGGTGTTGACATGGTGCTTGGCCTCTGAATGGTTCCATGACCAGCCATGGTTTGGTTTGATTAGAGAGAGATATGAAGCTTTATCAAGTATCTACGTGATGTGTTAGAGCTCAAGTGGTATCCTTGGTTTAGAGAAAGGAGAGATAGGGTTCTGCAGTCAAGGAAGAAAAGTCTTGTGAAGTTCATAGCAATTTACTCGGAAAGTTCATAGCAATTAATTTACTCATACATTTTGCTCGGATAACATTTACTATATATATATATATATTGCGATGAAAAGAAATATAAGTGATTTATTATAAGAGAAATGGAGCAAACTAGGGAAAAAAGTATTGGTGGATGCCAACTAATTAATTTGAGAATTAAAATTGATTAATAATTAACATATCTGAAATTGATTAGTGGATGATTAATAGTTAATTAAAATACAGTTTGGCTTATCGAATTTCACAAATGAGTTTGGCTTTGATGATGCCATTATTTTATATTGACGAGGAGCTCAACATCTCTTTCTAGGAGGTGTCTTTCCCGAATAAAATTTACTGTATGATTTTAATAATATAATATTTTTTTAGAGGACGAGTGTATATTATTATTCTTCTATTTAAACAAAAAATTAAATTCTTGTAATAACTTTATACATTATATTTTAATATCTTATTTATTCATTGCGGGATAAATTCATCAACGCCCCCTCATTTACAACTTATTTTTTTGAGGTATGTCAAGTGATTTAAGTCTACGATCTGCGTTGAGTTGTTAGGTCTTATTGAATTTAATGGCTGAGTTTGCCTTTCATATATATATATATATTAAGTTTTACAGTGGATATAGCTCATCCTCAACTTTATATAGCAGTTTTCTAGAGTTTATTTATTCAATAAAGGATATATTCACTCATTAATTATCAATATAAAAAATATTTAATCAAGCTTGTTTAAACTAAGAGTCATTTGGGTATGACTTAAGATCTTCACTTAAAAAAAAACCCTAAACATAAACGAGTTATATTTTTCATTATGTTTTATAAAATACATTAAAATAATATTATTTTTAAAAATTTATTTTCAAGACCGTACATTAAAACATCTAAGACCATAAAAAAAATTAATTTGAATAAAAATAAAAAATCTCAAAAGTTTTTTTAAATACAAAACCAAATACATCCTATATTTATTCATGAAGGGACTTGTATCAAGTACAAACTATAGGCTGTAGTGTGATTAAACCATGGAAAACATATAATATGATCAACAACTGATAGTAAACATAAACTTTAGAAGCATTTATAGTAAGATTAGACATTGGGTTAGGTAACACATGGATTTATTTCTCAAGTTATCTTATAAAATTTAATTGAAGAAAAAACTACATAAAATATAATAAATATAATATATCTTACAACCCTTGCAATATGATTTTTTTTTATAGTACTATGGGCATGCTAGCAGCTGTTGTTATCATTGTAACAGTAAAAAAATAGTCTTTGCAGGAAAAAAAATCTTTTGCAAATGCAACAGTTCATTAATAAGTGAATGGTTAAAGATTGATAAATAAAATTAAAATGATATTATTTTATTAATTTAAAAAAAAAAAAACAATAGCTAGATGAATCTAGATGGTCAACCATACTTTTTTTTCAATAAAAAAAGTATTATTATAGAGAATCTTTTTAAACGGTGATATAAATAAATATTATAGAGAATTTTAAATATTATTTTAATATATTTTTAAATAAAAAAATTATTAAAAACAACAAGAAAGCACAAAGTATTATCTTCCCCGCTTTATTAATGTCGTTTATTACATTTGGCAAACGATGAGCCGTATCGAGACAAAACACTTGATGGCAATAATAAAAATAAAATGAAAGGAAAATTACGATCATCACTCACACCATTGCCGTTGACTCATCAACAAGAGGAACCAATTCTCCACCACCACCGCCGCCGCCGCCACCACCAGTCCTCTCCTCAACACAGAAATATTCCTCTCTAACCCACAAAACAGCATGAATCAAAACAATAGGAACTGTGGCTGCTAAGGTGATAACAAGATGCAAGCCAGCTTTTGTCACTATGAGCTCTATCATAGTTGCAACAACTATCAAGCCAAGCACTATACTCTTATCAATACTCTTATCCAGCAAATAAAAATTTGGAGGAAGGGCACGTAATAATAACAGGTAAAGTGATGCCACATATGTCATGATGACCAAATAAATCAAAGAGACCTTGCGTTCTGGGATGAGGGTAATAAAGAGCACAATCCACACAAAATGTGTGTAATACAATGCAAAGTGGCCTAAATTTCTTATAATTCTTAGAGAAGCTGCTTCTGGGCTTGAAGGGATGCTGAAGGGGCACACTAGCCTGAACTCGGGTCGCTCGAAATCGTCGCGGTTCTTTCCTGTCGAGTCCTCAGGGTCGGTCGGAGTGGTTGGTGGTGACATGGTGCTTGGCCTCTGAATGGTTCCATGACCAGCCATGGTTTGGTTTGATTAGAGGGAGATATGAAGCCTTATCAAGTATGTGGCGTGTTAGAGCTCAAGTGGTGTCCTTGGTTTAGAGAACGGAGAGATAGGATTCTCTAGTCGAGGAAGAAAAGTCTTGTGAGTTTACTTGGAAAGTTCATAGCAATTTACCCATACATATTGCCTAGAGAACATTTACTAGTCAAAAAGCAGAGATCAAAAAATATTTTCCATTTAAAGTTTTCTTTTCTTTTTCTTTTTTAGGGGGAGGGTGAGGATTTTCTATATATAAAAATTAAAATGAAAAGAAATATAAGCGATTTATTATAAAAGAAATGGAGCAAACTAGGGGAAAAACAAGTATTGGTGGATGCCAACTGATTAATTTGAGAATTAAAATTGATTGATAATAAAAAGATTTGAAATTAGAAAGGAGATTCATTTTGTTGCTTAAATAAATTAATGGATAATTAATAGTTAAAATATAGTTTTATTAAAAGATTAATAGAAAAAAAAAAGGGAAGAAATCATACATGAGAAGACAAAGTAAACGGTGAAGTGGACTTGTGATGCATAAAATTGAAGGGACTTCTAAACTGGGGCTATACTCGTGAAGGTTTTACCCGGTCTTAATTTGATTTCTTTTGTTTTAGTTTAATTTCGTAGGTGCTCAACGATATAGTGAGATTTTTTTTTTCATCTTCTTTAATTTCTCTTGATTCTTGTATTACATGTTGAAATTCTTTAAAAAAATAGTGAAAAAAAAACTCAATACCAAAATATTAAGGGAGAGAAGTGAATATCAAAATTAGTTTTTTCTTACAAATCCCGTATAAAGATTGAAAAATAATTTATTATGATTTTTTTTATGTTTAAAATGTTTTTTAAATTGAATTTTTTATTTTAATTTTTTTTAAATTATTTTGATATGTTCATATTAAAAATAAATTTTAAAAAATAAAAATTACAAAAACAAAAACAAATAGACTCTCAAGCACTCTCTAAAAACATTTCTAATGCAAAAAGCTAAATTGAAGAGCTAAATTGATAAAATATCTTTTTAAATAGTATAAATATAGCTTTTTTAATTATGCGCATTCCAATGATAAAAAGCTATTTAGAAAAGCCATTTATATTTTAATATATTTCATATTAAATTTATTTTTATATAATTATATAATGAATTTACATATTTTATATATAATATAATTATGATGTTATTAATTGTATAATTAATATGAGTAATTTAGAAAAATAATATAAAATTTAATGAAATAATATGAAAGTTAAAAGATATAATTTAAAATTAAACTTAAAATTTATTTATATGAATATTTTTAATTTTAGTTTTATATGTTACCGTTAAAATTTTAATTTTTTAAAAGTAAATTCAAATTCAAACTTTGAAAAAAATCATTAATATTTTAAATTTTGTTTTTCAATTTTTTTTAAAAAAATTCATGCTTTGAAAAAATGACCGCTATCATTTTAAATTTTAAATTTTTAAAATTTTAAAAAATAATCGCCACCATTTTAAATTTTAAAATTTTGATTTTCAATAAGTTTCTTTCTTTATTTTTAAATAAATACTATTAATCAACGACTATAAAAATAGTCGTTGACAATGTTAACTTAATTTTGTCTATTCTACAGGAATATGTACAAATACCTCTTTTTAAATTAAAAAGTCATTTTGGCTTTTTTATTACTTGCTTTATTGGAATGACTTAATAAAAAAATTAAATGTAAAAATATATGTTTTTGTATTTAGCTCTCCATTTATATTTCCGGTTGGAGATGCTCTAATATAGCTTCTTCTTTTTTATTAAAAAAATATTCAAACTAAAAAATTAAATAAAAAAAAGGGAGGTGAAGCAATTTATTTGATTATGTAATATAATTCAAATGGATATTAAACTTAGACAACATATTCATTTACCTAATTTAGCTTAGAATTGAAGGTATACTCAAGCGACTTGTTGAAAACAATAATTGTAAGATGGCAATCGGTAGTTTTTTGAATTGCCCTTGTCTTCCTTAAGGCAGTTCATGCTTTAAGAATTCTATGTATTTTTTATTTTAAAAATACAGAAATTTATTTTAAAATTATGTTAAAGATAAATAATTAATATAAAATACTTGTATTAGTTGCACCTTTTATTTTTAATTATCTGTTAATCTAATTATAGTTGTATATATATACTTAGTTTATACAATAATAAAACTTAAGTCGTGTTCACCTACAAAATCATTAACTAGCTATTTAAGGAATGCCTAGTTTACGCAAAAGTGAGAATTTAATTACACTATTAACGAGAACTAATTGAGGAGGAGGATACCCTTTTTCTCACGAATTATTGTTTAATGGAATAATATTTTTTATTTTTATTTTTTAATATTATATTTATTAAAAATTGAATTTTATAATTTATTTTAATTTATTTTTATAAGAATATTCAAGTCTTGTAACTCAAGTCATGAGTTTTATGGATTAATTCGGTTGACTCAATTTTTTTTTATTTTTTTGTAATTTTTTAATTTCATCCTTTATCATTTGTGTTGATTGAAAATTAAACTTTATAATTTATTTTAGTTTGAGTCAAGGGTTTGGCATGCTAAATTGAGTTGACCCGAGTATTTTTCTGTCCTTTTTTTCTTTCAATTTCATTTTTTAATATTGTTGGATTTTAAGAATTGAGTTTTATAATATGTTTTGATTTACTTTATTTTGGGTTATCTTTATCTCATGATCTGAGTTTGACAA